TCAGCAGGAGGAATGAATGCCAGATTTAGACAGTCTCCTGGGAGCTAAGAACACAGAAATATTTTCTAATATCTGGCTCTTAGAGGAGCCCTCTTCCTCTGAAAGAAATGCACTATCATCTAAGACTTTTCCATGTGTGATCTCATGAAGACCTTTACAGGCCTTTGAAATAGTTGGAGAGGTTCGATTGGTTTTGTTTGATCCTGCTAAATCCCATGATAAGTAGAAAAATTGAGATTTCATGACATTATGATTTTATTTATGTATAAAATATTTGTAAGTATTTTTAAGCTAAAATCACTATCACATGAAATACAACAAATATTTACCTGAGGAGCTTGCTTTTCCTACGGCTCTCCAGATTGTGGCTGAATTCCCTTGTGTTCCTTGGCAGGCTGGGCCTGCCGCCCTTTCCTGCGCCTGCCCATGTGCGCGCGCACACACACTGACTCCTGCAATCTTCAGTGATCTTTTTCCCGGAGGAGCAATGCTGTATGGAGCTGATATAAACACTTAGCAACTTGGAGCCTCCTGCCTCCCTGCCAGGTTTGTTCAACATTCACCTATGGCACAGACATACAGACACGCAGGCAGCTCTCTTAGCTAATCTTGCTTCTTTAGGAAGGTGGACTTGGCTTAAAAGCAAATCCGAATGATCTCTTCCACCCTGCCCAAGGTTGAAAAAATCAAGCACTGGAAGATGTGGAAGTGCTTGAGTTCGAGTTGCCTGAACCCTGAACCCTGTCAGGACGTGGTGGCTGAGTCACCATGCTCGTCCTGGCGCCTGCGCTGCCTCCTGCTCGGCTCCTGCGGACCCGTGTGCCTCACTTCCCCCTCCGGAAAATGGAAAGTGCAGCTCATCCTTTCTGCAAGGCCCCAGTGTTAATCGCTTAAAAGTTGTTATCGATGTGTGGTCATCTCCTGGGAGTACAAGCTCTAGGAGGCACGTGAGTAAACTTCAGCGTTGTCCCCACTGTTGGGCCCATCTCGCCTCAGTGGTGAGGATGGGGGGTGAGGGGTCTAAAGTTTCCCTTGGAGAAAAATCACCTGGTGCTTCTACATGGAACTTTAATCTTTAGCTGGAAGTTGTGGTTTGCTATTTTTAGAGGCATTCCCATAGCTAAGAGGGAGACTTTCATACCAAGGTGAGCTTTCAAACAGGCCTAGCACTTCAGTTTGTGTTCAGGTCAGCTATTTCACTGACAGGAAAATGCTCTTGTATTTTGCACATAAATAAACAGAGAAGCAAGTTAAGTTAGGTCTGTAGGTGTCTGTATATCCAACTGTTGCTATAGTTATTTGTTGCTGTTGCTTTTTTAACTCGAGGTAAAAACGTTATGTGTGCAGAATCCTTGCATGGGTTTGGACAGGTGATCTGTTTCTGAAACTCTTGGGCTGCTTTTAATCTGTAGCTTTTACTTTAACAAGGCGGCCTGCCCCGTGGATGAGAGCTGTGTGTGTAGCTGTTGCTCATGTGGGACATGGAGCTCAGCTGGATTTCCTGCATAGAGTGTGCAGAGCCAGGTGTGGAGTGCCCCTGGACTTGCGTTGTCTCTGCCACAGTTGTGATCCCCAGTCACCAGGTGACAGTGGTGACAAAACTCAGCTGTGACTTGTGTGAGCCTCGTCCTACAAGTGTCGGCACGTGCAGCACCTGTCTGAATGGGGTGCTCGTCTCTTGCTGCCCAGACAAACGCTCTTTTTATAGAAGCACATTCTCAGCACAGGCAGAAAACAGCCCAACCCGGTTTGAAGGTGGTTTGGTGAGGCCTGCATGTTGTTTTTGGTGGAGGGTGAAGCCCAGCACAGTCAGGCCAGGTGTTGCTGGGCACAGGGGGCTGCCCAGCACACGCAGGAAGACCTGTTGCCGCGGATAGCAGGAGGCTGCACACGTGTGCCCTGAAGCAGGTCAGAGGGATAAAGCACACGTGCTGCGATGTCCTTTCCTTTCATGGGTGCTTTGATTTTAGTGGGGTGCCAGTACTCCTCAGTACTTGGCTACCTCCTGCCATTCCTGAGAATAGCAGCAGAGTTGCTTCAGAGCACTTCACGAGTTTCAGGTGTAACTTCAGTATTTTAAGCATAGATGTGAAGAAGGAATCTTAAAACCAAGGTAAGGAAGCGTTCAGCAAGGGAAAACCCCATTCTTGCAGTCCTTTATACAGTTGGGATCTTATCAATATGCTTTCCAAAGAACACCTTACACGTGATAGATAACATGGCACAGACCGGGGCACGTGTTGCCCCCAGATGATGAATATTAGGACTGAGATCACTTTCTTATTCCTTGCAGTGGTGAAGTTCCAGAAACACAGCAGATGATTCTTAAAAATTGCCTGAAATTGTCCCTAATATGGACAAGACATTGATCTGGTTGAGTGAGATTTTTATTGATGCAGAAATCTCTTGCTCGGCCACACTGTGTGTGTTCTGGTTGTTATGAGATAAAAAGGTATTTTTGCAGAATGTCAGGCAGCAAATATGGCTCATTCTGAGTTCCCATGAAATCTGTTCGTGTTTTAACACGGTATTCTCAGTATGTCCGAAGAACACGTCACTGGTCAGGATTTACGGACAGCTCAAAAACTGGGTTAAGGAGAGAGGTTTAGCTTTACCTTGCATATATGTTTCTTTTTTCTTGCACTTCTTACAGCAAAACCCAGAATATTTGTTTTAATTTTTGATTCTCTTCCATTGCTTTTACTTTTTGCAGTTCTTGTGCGATTGGTGAAAATAAGCCTGCATTCCAGAGATGCAAGAGGAGCAACAGCCTGAGGTAGGGCTTGGAGCTGAAGTTTTTCCAGTAGAATGATGGGGAAGCTCAAGATTGGAAATCAGCCAGGTTCCTAAGATTGTGCCTAGGGAAGGTCTCCAAAGTAAAGGGTCAAGGCTGCCTATGTGAGACCCCTTTTAAAACAGGGGCTCTTTAAGTTTTGTTGTTTTTAAACTTTCAGATATACCTTTTCAGAGTTCTTTTTCCTGTAATTGCACAAGCTAGAAAACTTTATTTTCAAATGAGGAATTGTGCAAAATAGTCTAACCTTTGAGTTTAGACTTTCAGAAGAAAAGTCTTGTGATTACCACATAATTGATTGTATGTGGATGTTCCTGGTGTACATAGTTTAAGTACCTTGCTGAATTAAACAAAGTGCCTTTTTTCTACCCTTTCTGTCCATTTTCTTCTCCTTTCATCTCTTTTTCAACCTTTTCCTGTGTAATAGCCTAAGTTCATGCAGAGTCCATTCTCAACTTCCATAGTAAAATGTGTCCTCTGTTAGTTAATTAAAAGAGAAGGGACTGGCAGGCTGTTAATGTGTTCCTTTTCCCACTTCAACGTTGTTATGATGACAAAGCCAGCCTAAGTGACAATTCCATATGTTGCAGACTGATACATTTTTCAAAATATTCTTTGTGACTAGACTTGCTTATGCAAGGGCTAGAGTTCAGCCATATGTTGTGATCAAAAACTGAGCTGGCATTAGATGAGGCTTACATGTGTAATTGCAATCTGCAGTTCTCCATGAGCAGACTCCTGCTTTGTAGTGAAAGGGGTGATGTGCTGCTGAGCGTGTTAAACTTTGCCCTGTAGAACTGTTGTACTTTTTGGTCTTACTACATGAGCTGTAATGACAAATTTTGCCTTGCCTTCAGTGTGGCCAAGGTAGGACACCCAGGACTTTCTGCCATATAGTAGTTTTCAGATATTATGAAATACAAAAAAAAAAAAAAAGTTATGTTGAAAGTACCAGTTACTCTAGCTAAAAGATTGACATTGTTTAGGAGTCCAGCTGCCTGTGAGCTGACTCATACTGCCTTGCATTTGGAAGAGCGTTGAACAATCACGGATTCACATCCTGTGACTAACTTCGACTTAATATCATTAAGGAATTGCAGATTTTTCCCAGGAATCACTGTCAGAACTTTGAATGAGAGCAGTTGCCTGAGTAGAGCTTTCAGCTGGGCTTTCCTCTGTGCTTTACTCTTTCTGCACTAGCTGTGCTTTCCCAGGTTGGATGACTGATTTACCCTAGGCAGAGTAAGTGAAACCATTTGGTTTCTGTGCTAAGGTTTTAAAATGTGTGTACTATGAATAAGGAGGAGTTTTGCTAGTCAAAGACCTGCCTAATGTACTTTCTATCTGTTGTGGGGTAAAAAATGACTTAAAATCCTTTTGCCTTTGACTTCTGATATATTTCCATCCTTTTGATGGAATGAGAAAGGATGAGAAAGAAAAAAATATGCATATATTGACTTAAATATATCAGAAATCAAAGGCAAAAGTCTAAGACTGGGCACGTGAGTATGTAATTACCTTACACTAACAGTAATAGTATGAGATACTTAATCAGACTCCTTCAGAATGGGTGTGCTTGTTCTTGTGAGAGCCGGTTCATATTGTCAGACTTTGACAGTGTAATGCTGCCTGGTTGGTAATTAGGTAAACCATGCCATCTGCTAAGTGCCAGTGTTTTTAGCATCTGTGCACACTTCCATTTCCAGTACAGAAAATTCCATTGTTAGAGATAAATTTGTTCTATTCTAGAGTCAGATATTTTTTGAGTTTGTGTCAGGTATAAATATTATCTTTTTGAAATAGGCATTAAATGTTCACTCTTGGTATGCTGTTTAGCATACAGCTGTTCTCTGTGGTTTTACATATCCAGCTATGCGGAGATTTTGAACCCTGACACGGCTTAAATTATTTAGTTGCTTGCATATTATCTGCAGGTTCAAACCAAGCTGACTCACAAGGGGGGAAAAAGATACTAAAACATTTCCTTATAATTCCCAGTCTCCTTTGAATTTGTTTCACACAGGCTGCTGCAGACTCAATGTCCTCCTCAGAAGCCCCAGAAGATGGCCCAAAGGAAGCGGCGAGTGTGCCCCAGAATATCTGTATGTTCCTGGGTTGACTGGGGAGGGTGTTGCACTAGGATAATATTAAGATAAATGTCTTTGCCTTTCCTTGCCTAATAAGGATGCAGTTGTTAGCACAAAAAGGAGATATGAGCAAGGTCGTATCTGACAATCTTGTCATGATTTGCAGAAAGGCCCGGTTGCAGAAACCACTTTTGAAAAGAGCAATGACATACTGTATTGATTGTCAGTTTTCTAGCCCTGTGCTTTCAAGAGAAAGTAAATTGGTTCTTGATTTAATAGATATATTCAGCTATTGTTTTAAGCTTGCTCCGGCTCTGTAAGGCAAACTCAGATACATACACGTCTGGCCTCTGCTGTTGTGATGGTGGATCAGTTGTCACAGATGAAAAAAATTGCCCATTCCAACATAAAGATAAGTTTGATGTGAAGACCAAGCATGCAGGATGTGGGAATGCAGCTATTTCAGCCAGGGCTTTGGAAGCTCAGGCAGAGTATCAACCCTTACCTTTTAGTGGTAAGGATCAGATAATGAGAGTAATTTATTTCTGGAGGATAAAAGGAAGCTTCTTGGGATATGCTTTTTGTTTATTGATATACGGCTGTCCCACTAATACGTATGATCCTCCTTTTGAACAATAGGAGCATTCAGCCTGGGCTTTCTGGCAAAGAATAGGCTAAGAACCACCCGAGGGCAAGTTATCCTGTAACAGCAGTATTTCTGTAATGCTGAAGTTGCTGAATAACCCCTGGGGACTATAGCTTCTAGAAATAACAATCATGGGAGCAAATCAAGAGCCTTAACCAAAGCAACGAAAGAAGCATTTGAACGTAAAGCAGCAGATTAATTTTTTTTTGTGATCTGTGTTTTCTTTTTTTTTTCCCTTCTCTCCCAGATATAGCAGTTGGGTTTAATAAAAAACTGTAGCTGCTTGTGAGAATGTTTTCCTTGTTTATATCTTTAAATGGTAATATCTGTTACTGCACTGTTCTAACAGTTTTTTCCCACATAAAACACAATTCAGTCCAGTTTTGAATGTATATGAGGTGGGAGCTGGAAAAACTAATGGAGAGGGAATCCATTAAGGGTTACTGGGTACATAGAAACCACCTTCAACTTAGAGAATCCGAGACATAAATGGCTAGCTGTTCGGAGCATATTTGGGGAAATTATCATGTTTGCTTCCCTCTTTCGTAATGCTTTTGACCACTGTGGGAGATGGGGTCCTTAGGTAGGTTTTGGTGGACTCCATATGGCTGCTTTTGTGGTCACGTTACTGAAGATGCTATGAAATACCCTCCCACCTTTTCCTTTCCTTTTACAGCCAAGCTTTCTCCACCTGCTCCTTTGTCTTAGATCTCTTCAGTACTCACATTGTCTTAGATCAGCTTTTACCTTTCCTGGGGCTTGAGCATAATGCTGCTAAAATCCTGATTAAAGTAGGGCATTTTCATTGTGGGTTTTGAGATTTTTTTTTTTAATCCTATAAATCAAGGTATTTGTGGGACAGAACTGAGAGCTGGAGCTATATGGTTAAACTACAGAATTGTGAGAAGAAAGAGGGTGTGTAGTAGTTGTCTGGAACTTATCTGTATCCTTGGCATCCTGCATACACACCTCATTAACCTTTTTCTCCTGGCATTACGGTCCCATTATAACTTGTGGACCTCTTTAAGGCCTCTTCTAACTCTGTAGCAGCTTCCAGAGAAAGACTTGGTGGGGAAACAAATTCTTCCCCACTTGATTTATCTTCCTCTCCCTGCTTAAGACGCATTACAGCCTAAGAATAATTTAATCCAAGTTAAAACATTTCCCACTGCTGTAAGACTGAAGCTTCGATCTATCTTGGTGAATGGAGCTTCCTGGCATTCCCCAAGGAACTGTAATAGAACTGACAGACCCTTCTATATTTCCATGCAAGCTTGGTATAAATAGGCTGAATTTGTGTTGTGCTGTTTGGACTAAAATAGTTTGTTGAATCCAGGGAAAATTTACCTTTTTTTCATCTTAATGCCTCTTTTAATGTTTAATTTTCAATTGTGTACTGATCTGCTGTGTATTAGTCACAAGAGGCTAAGATTGGTACTGGTAGGTGTGCTACAAGCTCCTGTATGTGCAGATGACTTTACCAGCATAATTCACACCAGTATAAATATGTTGCTGTTGTTTATACAGATAAAATTACAAAAGGAAGCACTTTTGCTCTAGATTTTTTTAAATGCCTTTTTTCCAATCTAGTGTATACCTTTTCTAAGTATTCTTTGCTTCTCTATCCACCTCACTTGCCACACAGCTTCTCTCTTTCCCTTACTGGACTGCGTGGACAACCTGTCCCAGTGTCCACAGGGTAGGAAACCTGGACTGAGACCCATGCTTGGAGGCAGCCTCTCCAGTGGTGGCACTCTCAATGATGTAGCCTCAGAATTGAATGTAAGACTACAGTAGTAAATCAATGGCCTTTTAGCTCTGCTCTGCTCTTTAGTGCTGGCATATTTTTTGTTTCTCTGTTTTACTTACCTGCATTTCATAGTCATATGTGCCTTTTTTTCTTTTATAGCTGATGCTGATGCATTTAAAATCCTTCTGGAGATGAAGATGAAGAAGAGGCAGAAAACACCCACCTTACCAAGCACTGTGACTGAGCTTGATACAGATGATGGGTCAAAAGTCTATGTGGTTGGAACAGCCCACTTCAGTGACAGCAGCAAAAAGGATGTTGTGAAGGTAAATGTGAAGCAGGAGCCCTTTGGTGGTGTGTTTAGGATGTTGTCAACTTAGCATTAAGTATATCAGAAAGAGCAGTGCCCAGCCCTCTTTCCTGGAACCTGTGCTGTAACCTCCTGGCTGTTCCTGAAGTTGGCCATTGGGAAGGAGGGCAAGTTGGCAGAACTGGAGATGGAATAAGAAGCAGACATACATTGATAGTTTTTTGACCCACTAGCTGTTCTGCCATCCCAAATACCAAAATACATGTCCTGTAAACAGCAAATACCTTAAAAAATGCTGTATTAGAAGTGTCAAAGTGTAGCAGGCTGGCAGCGCGTGTTGTCTCTATTGCCTGGTTGCTGGCACAGAGACAAGCTGAGAAGATACAAAGCCCACAGCAGAAACTGGAGTGTTCAGTGAGGAAAGCCGTGTGAGAAGTGTAATTTAAAAAAAAAAAAAAATGGTGCCCACCAAAACTATAGAATACAGTCCAAGATGCATATAGGGCTGAAGTTCTAGGGAAAATAGCTTTTATTTGAGACAGTACCTTACGCAAACACTGCAATTTAGAGTGGTTTTACTGCCTGGTAATTGGTGGGAGAGAAATCTCTTGCCATATTCATCAGTTCTGGCTCTTAAAAGGCTCGTTCCACTTGGATTATAAATGGTCATGAAGTACTGTTAAAGGAACTGTTTAACATCAGGATTTTCTGTTTCTCCACCCACTACAACTTGTGCTTTATCTTGCTGTCTCAGTATGCAGCAACTGCCTAGTATTCCACTGGTATCTTCCTTATTTTTTTCTCAATAGTTATTTGGTGAAGCCTTGTGTATGTTTTCACTATTCTGTTAACTGAAGATGATTGGCAGAGTGGGCTTTTGTTATACCCCATGTCTTGCAAATTACTCTCCTGCAAGATCAGTACTGGCTGCAGAGCTATTTAATCTTTTCTAAATTAATGTAAATAAATTCATCTCTTTCAGACAATACAAGAAGTGCAGCCTGATGTAGTTGTGGTGGAGCTATGCCAGTACAGAGTTTCTATGCTAAAGATGGATGAAAAGACATTGCTAAAAGAAGCCAAAGAAATAAATCTGGAAAAACTTCAACAAGCTATAAAGCAGGTATGATTCCCACAGTGAAAATTAAAGGTTTGTACTGATGATCTGTCAAATTATAACCAGAAAGAATGTTCCTGCCAGCTGTGAACCTAATAGCTTTTGTGCAGGGAGAGTACAGTTAGGCAAAGTTGGGTTTGGTCTTTTCCTTTTAGCTTTGTTAGTGAAGGCTTCTGTTCCACAGTAGGGCAGTCTGGGCAGTCATTGACTGCCTCGAGGCTCTTCCTGGGTTTAACTACTGCTCTGTTTGCAGGGTGCAGTTTTAAGTTTGTAATTGCAATGTTCTGCTGATATATTTAAATATGACTGTTATCCCTTGGATTTGCATCTGTATCACAGCTGTTTAAGGAGCACTTAACCTTGGATTGTTGTGGAATTGCATTCCTTCATCTTAGTGTGTTTCTCTTTCGTATTTCTTCCTGTTTTTGTTTTGTTTTTATTTGTAACTAGTCTGGCAACTTGTCCATGCTTGGATGTGTGTGCAAGCCATGACTCTTGTCCTGCGTTTTCAGTTCCAATCCCTTAGCTAGTCTTGGAGCAAATTTAAGCTAAGCACAGCAAAATGATACAGGTTTGATCTTAAAATGATGATAGGATGTTTAATTAGAAGGGCAGCATCAGGTCAGCAGTCATCAGAGTGTTCTGTGTGTTCAGGTGAATGAAGAAATTCAGTTATTGCTCGTGTGGTGCCGGCATATCACCAAGTTACTTATTTTTGATGTCATTGGGGAATTCTCAGGATTGCAGCCCCAGTAACAACATAACCTACATCCGTGCAGAAGCATGTGCAGTGGCTAGAGGCTAATCCATTTTGTGTGTGTATGTATATATAGTTTCTCAGAACAATCTTTCCAACTCATACGGTTGAGCAATAATGAACTTTTCCCAGTTTTCTTTATTTATGTCCTATTAAGGAATAAAGCAGCACAAAAGATTTGAATGTTGGATACATCTGTCTGTTTTGATACCCGTAGCCAAAGAAATTAATGTTCACAGCAGCCTGTGTAGTGTAGTTGGGGGTTCTGCCTGGGTAAACAGGCACCTAACCTTTCTTTTGATCTCAAAACTAAATGCAACAGTTCTTGCTCAACTCGTTTTAGAGGAGAAAGCTGATGAAAATCAAAGAGAAAACTTCCCTGTCTGTGGGGAAATGTCACATTGGCAGTTCTGTGGCGTAGCTGGCAGTTTCTGCTGGGACTGTGTGGCAGTGCAGCTTGTGCTGGCTCCAAAACCAGAGGATAATACAGGACTTCTTCCTGCTGGTTACAGCTCAACCTTAGACTTTTCTTTGTTGCCAACAATGATGCAGATAATAACTTGGACATCCTGCCTTTTAGATAACATATTTTCCATGTATAACTCCAACAGTAACACAGAGCAATCCCTCCTCCCTTGATTCGGCAGCAGTGTGGATTATACAGATGTAGGCAAAAGCTTGAACTGTCTCACACTAAATTATAGTGGCTTTATTTTCCCCTAACAAAATCAGACCAGCCCCTGTGTTGCTCCATCCTCCTAAATGCTTCCATTGGACGCTATCATTCCATGTCCATCAAATAAGCATTCGGGCCCAAAAGTTGCACCAAAGTTAAATCTGCATATAACTTGAATCCTATAGTATAAAATCAGAAAAAAGGCTTTTTTTGCACTTGCTTGTGTAAATCTTAAGCAGTAAAGTTTTATTTTATTACTCTTAATTGAAGCTGGAATCTGAGCTATTAATTGAAAATTAGTACACACTTGCAATGGCTTGTTGGTATTCACAGATTATCAAGCAACTATTACGGGTTAAAAGCAGCCTTTTCCAGCCCCTCCTTTGCTTTGAAACCCATCCAGTGGTTTACAAAGAACTGTCCCTTAAGCAGGACAGCCCCAGTGGACTGGGATCTGGCTCCAACGGGGAAGGTGAGCTGGAAGGATTGGCTTAACCAAACTGGTAAGACTGGTTTCGTCTTCTCCTCTGTCCTTGTTTTCTCCTGTCCCCTCCGTGTCTGCTCCAGAGCTTGCATGGCCATGGGGCAGTCTGAGCAGGGCTCGCCTTTCACCTGGGCTGATTGCTGGTCCTGACGCAAAGGAGGAGATGGGAAACCTTGTCCTTGGCAAGAGCAGAAAGCTGCATGACAGCAGCAAAATATATTAATGCAGCTTCCCCCCCTGGCTTTTTTTCTTCCCCTCTTCCCTTGAGGATGAAGTGACCTGTGTTTTAAAAAATTCTATAGTAGTAATATTGGTTTCTAGCCAGTGAAAAAGCTCTCATTTTGCCCAGCTCTCCCTAGTTAGATAAGCTACAGGGTTAATGGTGTCTCTTGGCAGATGAAGGCCTGTGTACGGGGGCTGCAGGCTGCAGCCACGGGCTCTCCTTGCATGCGCTGCGGCGTCAGAGTCCCCAATGCGTTTGCAAGCAGCAGCAAAACCCCTTCCCGGCTGCAGGCCTGTGTTGGTACCAGACTGTCCACAGCAGTCGGCCTTTCTGAGAGAAGAAACCCAGAGGACTATGGTGTTTTGCCTGTGCGTGTCTCCAGTGCAGTCCTGGGTCTGTCCCTCGCTACATCCATACAAGCTGAGATGTCCTCTATGTTTTCTCTTTGTTAATCATCCTTTTCAGACCCTGATGAGTATTTGATATAATCTCCTCTCATGCATTTGATCTTTCTGTGTACATTTTCTATTTCAAATATCTTGTCTTCAGGACAGAAATCCACCAGAGATTATACAGGAGCACACTGACGTTTCCACTTTGTTCCTCTCCTAAGAATCCCTACCATTCTTCTTGCTTTTTTGATTGCTGTTAAACGCAGAGCTGAGGAACTCAGTATTTCTCATTCACTCCTGTGTGCCAGTAGCTCTGTGTTGTGTTGCACGTGCAATCAAGTTCCTTTTCACAGGTGCATGGCTTTGGTTATGGCTGTTGCATCCAAGCCAAGAGTTTATTGCCAGTCCCTCGGGGTTTCATTCCTGTTTGTGGCCAGCTTTGCCTTTTCTGACGCGGGATACCCTTGTGCTGCTGAGGACCTCGTGCTGCTCCTGTCAGTCCTGCTGTGTGAGCCCTTCGTTCCCCAGCGCTCGGTCTGAGCAGTTGTTGCTTTTTGAGACTCCAAACTGCTGCTTGTTGCTTCTCATCTGCTCAAGGCTGAGCAAACATGGGAGCAAAAACCCTGAGTTTTACACGAGGCTAAGAGCACAATTGGCTCAGGGATGCTTCAAAGCTGCATCCATTTGATACTCAGCAGGATGAATCTTTCTTCGCTGTGTTTAAAAATAAATAAATAAATAAATACAATCCTCAGACACATCAATCCTGAAGGGGCAGTAGCCCACACATGAGCTTAGTCTGCATTGCCTTGGTTTTCTTCTCCTTGTGGGGATCTTTTCTAAGCCCCTGGAAACCCTTTTGAAGGGAGTCTGAAGAACACTGAAAGCAGCTTCTCGTTGCCCTCTTGCTTGTCCCTCCCCAGAGCCCCATGCCCTGTCCTTCTGCTCAGGTGGTTCCCATGTTCCTGCTCCCACCCGGCGCTGGATTGCGCTTTGTGGCGCACGGAAGCGCTGATTTGGGCTTGAAGGTGGCCCTGCTCTTCTGCCAGTTCTTATCCTCAACGGCTGTGCAGTTTGCATAACGGCAGAAAAGCCGTGACCTCCTTTGGGGAGGCGTCACGCGAGTGTCGGAGTTGGCACCAAGGGCGTCATTTGAGTGTGGATTTGAGGGAGGAAGGGACAGGCACGTTCCTGTGGTAATTCAGGCAGTCGTGTTAACTTGAGCTATCCCCTCTAACCTCCTCAGTCAGCTGGTGCAGCAGGAAACCTTTGGGGAAGAGAATTTTGAGGGAGTTTCTCTTATGGCAGTGGTATGGCCTGATGCCAGGTCACAGGAAGGGTGGAGCTGGGGTCAGGTTTGTCCTGGCAGGATGTAACACTCGGCCACCAAGTCTCAGGGCTTTAGCACAGCTGGCTCAGGAAGAGCCAGAACGGGACCGGGAACAGCAGTAACAGCTCTGAGTGCAGTTGTGTGAGGCTGTTTATTTCCATTTCTTTAAGAGTAATAAACAAACAAACAAAAAAGGGTTTCAGCCTCTGTTCTTTGCCCAAGGAGGATGCCCAGGGTGCGTGTGGGACGGGGTCGTACCCAAGACCCAGGTTTCCAAGGTTTTGTGAGCAGCAGCTTCTTGCCCAAGGCTGAGTGCCCCGTGTGTGTGCAGCTCCTGACCCGGCGGCGTGTCCCTGGCACTGGGGGAGTGTTTGGTTGGATATTTCCCTTTCAGTATGCCCACGGTGTGGAATTTGGTACATTTGCAGTGGAATGGCTTCTCTTCTAATCGGGAAGGTTAAGAAAAAATAAATGTGCAGTATGAGCTGAGCTATTTTACCACTCAGTTATTCAGACACTTCCTTCAAGCAGGTGGAATAAATATAGGAGGAAAAGCAGCCAGTCTTGCTGACCTCCCCTGTTGTGCCTTTTTGTTGAAAAGGAAAATATCTTGGTTATATGCTGAAGTGAAAAGCCACTTTACAAATGACAGAAGCTAAAACAAAAGGTGTGTATTCAGCACTGAGCTGGCTGCAAAGGGTAGCTTCCATATTGCTTCTTCCGCAAGATAATTAACAATTTTTGATTGTGAGCAGTGCCTTCCTCTCAGAAATCCAGACAGCTTGTTGGTTTTCTTCTTAATGTTTTTTTTTTTCTTTTTTTCTCTCTCTCCCCTTTCCACTAGAACGGAGTCATGTCTGGCTTGATGCAAATGCTGCTTCTGAAAGTGTCTGCTCACATCACAGAACAGCTGGGGATGGCCCCAGGCGGAGAGTTCAGGGAGGCTTTCAAAGAGGTGAGGACTTGAAACGGTTCTTCCAGGTCAGATTACTGGCCTTTGAGTCAGACTAAATAAAGCCATTTGTTAGGTACTGGAAGAGAGTACTGGGCTGGTGTTTGCACTGCAGCCTACGCCATGGGAGTTATCTGCAACCTCAAAGTAAACTCAGAGCTGCAGATGTCTGCAGCCCTGAGTGACACAAAGGCAACACCGAAAAGGCTTTAAATGTCAAGGTTTTTTTTTTTTTTTTTTTTTTTTTTTTCCCCTCCCTGATTATGTGTTAATGGCATTTGTTTTAGTTGTATTAATAACTAACTTTTTTCTGTTCTAGTGGAATAACTGTTGTTGGATAGTGAAATCGTTACAGTAAAACCACCAACAGAAACTGGGGGATCTAGCTGTTTGTTTTGGGTAGTTGAAATAACTTCATCCAAATGATAATCCTGTTTTTATTCAATTCTGGTGGTCATCCCTACCATGTTAAAAGGGAGAACACACCATGGTTTTAAACACTATGAAATAATTGTGCCTTTATTCTTAAAAATTGGAATTGTTTCAAGGCCCATTTTCCTGAGTATTCTGGACCAGACTTTGTGTCTTCCTCCTGCAAAAAAAAATCATTTAAATCCTTCCAAATGGTTGTTTGGAATTTTTTATAACCCGTGTTTAACGAGGAGCTTTCCAGTGTATTGTAGTCTTGGTTGACAAATGTTTTAGCACAATCTTGCCTGGCATTGCTGTTTGGTATCTGGCATTAGTCTTTGTTTTGTGAGCTCCTCCAGTTCTCAATTTATTCTGTCATCAGAAACAGTTGGACAGGTTTAATCCTGATGAATCCTAGTTAAAAGCAAAATATTCAAAGTCATTTTACTTGCAACTTTATTCCAACCTGGATGGGTATTCAGCCTCATCTGTTTGCCTGAAGTCATAAAGAGGTGCTGCATATTTATTTATGTAACAGAAAAATAGAGGGTGGAATTAAAATTCATGGATTTACTGTAAATTTACTGAAACTCATGGGTGATATATTCCTTTACAAAGTAGTATATTGAAAAAGTTTGCTGCAAAGCCAAGAACTCTGAATTGTGATAGTGTTTTGCTCCTCTTTTTTTTCTTTAAAATATCTTGAATAACATAATAAGACAAATGTTCCCTTAAACGGGCAGTGATTGGAAGTCTTACATGGTAATCTGTGTCTTCTCTTCCAGGCTAGTAAAGTACCTTTCTGTAAATTTCATCTTGGAGACAGACCCATCCCTGTTACTTTTAAGAGAGCAATTGCTGCTCTTTCTTTCTGGCAAAAAGTCAAGCTTGCTTGGGGCCTTTGCTTCTTATCTGACCCAATCAGGTATGAATACGAGTCCTCTCTGATTTCCAAGGGCAACTTCTTCAACTCTTCAATCTGACTTTAGTAGGAGCTGAAAGTCTTCAGTAGGCAGCCTGATATAGAACACCTAAAGAAACAAACATTGCTCAAAAAATTATTTTTGGTTTGTCTATTCCTTTGCTGAACACAAATTCTTTCCCATTATCAGCATGTGGATTTTCCTAATGGAGTAGGATTTTTCCCTGGGCTAATATATACTGCATCAAGATTTCCAAAGGACTTGGGCCTGCTGTGTTAAGTCACATCAGGATCAGGGTAGTTTGAGAATTGAATCAACATCTGCTGTCTGAGCAGTTTTGTTGTTTGTTTGCTTTTTGGAACAAGAGAAAACATTTAAAAGTTTGTGTGACTTAATGCTGCCTTTATGAAGGGGCCTTGTTAGGAACTTCTACCTTATGGTAGTGCTTCCCAGATGGTTATTTTCTTGCTCAGCCTGGTTTCCTCTACCCTTCAGAGAAATCGTTTGTTTCCGCCCTGCCTCTGCCCACAGGTGAGAGGGAGCTTCCTTGGGCTGGGTGAGAACACATGCCCCGTGTTCTCCTCAACTCCTGCTGTTCCTAGCAGACTTGCAGCAGCAGCAGGTGTCCAGAAACTGGTTGGCAGCTCGTGTGGTCCCTGAACCCCCGTGCTTACCTCGTTGCCTGTGGCTGGAGCCCTGCAGAGCCCACGCAGGGAACAATGTTGGGTGGTTTGGGTTTTTTCAGGCATTCTGAATCGGCCCAGGGCTCAGTCAAGCCAGCTGTGATGTGGTTTTGCCTTTTATTTGCTTCCTGTAAAAACTTGCTACTACCTTTAGCTATAAAAGGAGTTTGAATTTTTTTTCTGTTTTATTATCTGCAGTTAAAAGTAAATTTTATTTCTTTACTAGTCTAATAAAAACATGGAGCTATTTATGGATTTGGGGAGGAGGGACACTGGAGTATTTATTTCTCTGCCACTTCTCCCGTTCCTTCACTTATCCCAAGAAGATTTTGTTTTTCAACTGCAATTTTAACCTGTAGTCATGATAGGTGAATGCTGGTTCACAGATGAAATTTAAATTTGGATAAAGTTGCACCTAAACTTTTTACAACTGATCTGTGAAATTTGTGGTTTTGGAAATACAAATATATATGTACATAAAGGGGGGGACTGTTGTGTAGACACGACCACTGAGACATCAGTATGTGGTTGTGCTAGAAAGGGAGTAGTAATTCAGCATCGGTTTGTGTCAGTTTTGGTGTTGGGTGACTTGGTGAAAGCTGGCAGTGTGTTTCTGCTTTTGGTTGCCCCCGTTTGCATTTGTAGTGTCTTTGATCTCAGAAACAGGGCTCAGAGAACACACGGTGGGATCAGCCTTCAGCGGACGGTGGTCGAAACCGCTTAGCAGTTGCTGCAAACTGCACCACAACCCTGAGAGCAAGCAGAAGGTTAAAAGCACCTTTAAAAAATAAAGAAGCTCACCACGTTTGCTCCTGTGTTTCTTGCCCTCTCTATTTCCTGTTCATTTAACATTCTCCCATTCAGAGATTTAAAAATATGTTAGACTTCCCTGAAGCTGAAGACTTGTGTTTGGTGCTAGAAACCTGCAGAACCCTCTATCTCCTCAGGCTGCCCCCATGCAGTGTGTGTTTATTTTATTTATTCCTGAAGCATAGCCTTTCTGGGTGCTCAGAACCACCTCCTCAGAAGTGCACGCATTGCTTCATTTAAACTTAATATATTTTGAGATGTTTGGAGCCACTTGTCCTACTGCTTTTGAATCCCCGTGCTTTTGCTCGGTTTGGTTGCCAGCTTGCAAACTGGGAAAGGTAAAAAAAACATTCAGTTGAACTGCCTAAAGGCAAGTGACCTCCCTTGTCTTTCCTTGACTTCAGAGGCACTGTTAAATATCCAGTCTTACAGGTTTAGGGAAATTGCTCTCATTTTGGAGAGAACTATACAGCGTTTATTTGTGTCTAACATGAATGACCCCTTAAAGTTGCTCTTTTGCTGTCAGTCTGTCTCTTGGGCTTTAAAGTCATTAAATAGATATGTATTTTCCTTTCAGTAAGGATGATGTGGAGAAATGCAAACAGAAGGATTTACTGGAGCAGATGATGGCAGAAATGATCGGAGAGTTCCCTGATCTTCATCGCACTATTGTCTCGGAACGAGATGTTTACTTGACCTACATGTTGAAGCAAGCTGCAAAGCAGATAGAACTACCTCGAGCTTCAGAAAGTAATTGTTTTGTGTTAGATACCATCACTGGCATCACTGGTGGCATGACACTCGCTTTCTCTTCTGGGAATACCTGGAGTCTTCTGTGGGTTTGTTTTGTAGACATATGCCACATGCTGCAGAGGATTACAGGGCCTAAAGAAAAAAATAGTAGTGGTGTTGTCCTCTCCTCGGTAGGACTGTATTTGTCTGGTCTTCAAAATCCTCTTGTTCTTGTGTGTCGTCTGCATGCCCTTGGGATATATGTAAGCGTATGCCTATATAAGCATTAAGAATATAAACAATATGGATTGCTTTTTATTTGCTCTCTTAAGGAAATACTGTTTGCAATCACTTCGTGCAAAACTTATGGCCCTTTGTCAATTAAAAAATAATAAGAATATAATAGTGGGAATATGATAATAGTTGGAATATTGCACCTATATTCTTGTATCCGGTATTTGGTGCCAGCCCTGCTGCCTCCTGCTTCCCAGAACAAACAGGTCCCGAAAATCCCGGCACAGCAGGGAGCTGGTTCAGGCTGGGAACACAAGAGACTATAGGAAAGATACGTGTTAGCTTCAACTGTGCAACATTAAGTTTTAATTATGTGCAGCATGGAGCTGGTTCAGGCTGGGAACGTGAGCGACTATAGGAAAGATACATGTTAACTTTTACTGTGCAACATTAAGTTTTAATTATGTAGTATTATGAGGACCTGCCTCTGGAAAAAAAATCTGCTTTATAATGTCACACATTTCCTTTATAGTTTGCGATTAGTTTTTACTGATGTGTTCCTTTCTCTCCATCTCTCTTTTTAGCTGAACCTAGACAGTACATCCCATCTGTTGTAGTGGGTGTTGTTGGGATGGGCCACGTACCTGGAATTGAAAAGAACTGGAAGTCTGACTTAAACATCCAGGAAATAATGAGGTAACAGTTATCCTTCCTATTGAGGTTACCAGCTTCTCTGGCTGAAAGCTGGCGATGAATCTTTGGTTTTTTGGTTGTTGCTTGTCACAGCACGAGGAGCCATTGCTGCTGTTGTCCCTGCCTCCTCAGCACACTGACTTGCTGGGTACTGCTTGCAGGAAAGGCAAAAGAACAACCAAATGGGAGAAGTGTATAGTTGGAGATCAGGCTAATTGTGAGGAAGCAGCTTTGTCTGGAAAGAAAATTTGTCAGTCCATGTTTGGGGCTTTTAAAATCGGAATTCAAATGAGGTGACACCTCATGGGAGGTGGCAGGTACAAAACCAGGCTTTGCTCTAGCTTAGGTAAATATAAAGTGTGGATCTCATGGCTTTGCAGTGTCAGGGCACTGATGGTTCTGGGAAGCCTGAAATCACGATTGCTCATTACTTATTTTTCACTGTACATATTACTGTAAGTAATAGGATCTTTTAAAGCTTATGCTCAATTATGCCCAACTGGTAAGAAGTCCCTGCCCCTTTCTGCAGGGTTGTAGCTCAAGGCCAGGCTCTCTGATCCTGTTCTGTACCCTGCCAGGGCCATAGTTCAATGTCAGGGTTACTGGTGTCTTTTGTAAGATGCTAACAGCGCGTGAACCTGGCTTTCTAAAGTGATACAAGATATAAATAATAAAAAGCAAATGACAGATGGCATTCAGACTGTACAAAGACCCTAATTTCTTGTTAATCTTTTTATTTTTCTGGTGTTGTCATGTTGCAGATGCAAAGTTATGCTTTTTGTGTTAGTGAGTGTCATCTCCCCAAAGGGAGAAGTTCTAAAGGTTTTACAGGTATCTGTGTTTTGCAAGTTGCAAAATAACCTTGAGAATGGCCTTGGCATCCCCTGCGCTTACATTCTGTGCTAAGCCCGACCCTAGGCAGAGCTTACTGTTTTCTGCAGGTCGTACTACCCAAATTGCACTGAGGGGCCAAAATGGAGAAGAGCATAGGGAGTGTGAAGGCTGTTTGGCCCATCCTTTGCTCAATGTATGCATTGCTCTCAAACTGTGCATATTCCCTCACCTGCTAGATGTGACCTCAGTCATCTCCAGCTAGCACACCCTGCCTGCTTTAGAGGTGCCTCATAGGCTTTGCGCTGCAGGACCTGCTTGTAAATGCATTAGGAATGGGTTTTCGGAGATAAATAAGTGGGAGTTTGGGAATCCTTTCAAGCTGCAGAGAGCAGTGTCCCTTGGAGAAGATTATTTGGGTTGCAGCGTATCCATGCGGTGTGTGCAGAGCCCTGCGGAGCCTGTTATTCCCGGAGCAGGACACAGGCCCAGGGCCCTGCTGTCAAAGCCAGCCTGGCTCTTTGAGAGCAGCTCTGCTGGCCACCGAACGCCCCTCGCTCGCAGCGCTGCCCACGACCAGGTCTAGAGCAGGGTGCAGAGCCCCCAGCGCCCTCCCGGGAGCGGGGCAGATCCCACGCCAGTGTCCCGCATCCCGAGCATCCAAGCGCCGCCTCCTCCCTTGCCCCAGTGACAGTGAGCTGGGGGCCAGGCGTGGGGCTCCGACTGGCCCATGCTGCTCCTGAGCTTCTGCTCTGTGTCGAGATCTGCATAACACTGTTAAAAACAGCCCTACAAACTACTGAACTCCCAGTATTCCTCGGGAAATCCTGGTATCATCTTGGTTACTTTGGTGGGGTGATGGGCCAGACAGGGCCCCAGGCTGTTAAAAGCGGCACATACATGAGTGGCAAAGTTGTCTCTTGCTTAAATTTGGATCTGGCCCATGAACGTGGAAGAACAGATTGCCCATCTGTTCTCTGGAAGGTCTCCTGCACTCCAAAGGAGGAGAGGAAATGATCATTGTTGATCATTGTTTTGGTCAAAAACTACCTATTTTTTTCCCAGATACAGTGTTAACTTTTTTTTTGTATCCCTTCTTTCAGTGTGCCTCCTCCATCAGCTTCAAGCAAGATTTTCAGATTTGTCGTAAAAGCAACAGTTTTTGGACTCATGGGATATGGCTGCTACCGAGTAGCTCAGAGGACAGTGCGGTTCCTTCTTTCGACAGCAGCAGCACAGAGCTACCTTCAGAAGCTGACAGAGGTGAGACCACTGCCCTGAACATCAAGCAGAGGCTGAGGACGTGGCTGGACAGGCTGCTGGAGGCAACGAATGGAGTGGGCTGGAAGAAGAGGGAAATGAAGGTTGGAGTCGGAGACGGTTGATGCTGAACAACGCTGAATTACTGTGTAATAAAGTATTGATACTAAAAGCTACACCAGCTATGATGCAATGAATACGTTTGATCCTTGGTAAGTGTACTGCATGAAAGCACATGATTCTGGATTGAAGTAAAGGAAATATACACAAATATATAATATATATACAAAGACTTGCTGTATGTATAATATATATTAAGAGTGGTGTAGTGTGGACAGCTTAAAGAGCGTGCGCTCAGGACTCTTCTGAGAGGAACAGAAGCAGAGTAGCACAATCGGGTGCATCTGCTCAGGAGTTCAGGGACACCTGCTTGAATGATTTTTAGGTTTTTTTCCTTAGGTATAGTAATACCTAGAGGTCATTTCTGGTGCCAGGCACTTTTACACGTCATTTGGAAGGACATCTCTCTGTAAGTGTTTTATACTTAAAACACACTTTTTAAAAACCTTTAGACCTTTCCAAAAACTTCATAATTGTACAGGCTGTCATTCCTACACTGCTCAGATTTTTTACAAGCCTTACTGCAAACCAGAAGTGCTGCCTTTGGATCGCATCCTCGTTGCAGCCGCCGGTTGAGTCCTCTCTCTCCTGCATTGGGAAGGTCCCACCGCATCCCAGTTCAGTGTGGCTGGTGTCAGATGTTTACAGGACACTCTGTTCCTTTAGATTAGGTTATTTAATCTGTATTAGTTAGCCAAATCCTGCTGGAATTGGTATTGTAAATTTAAGAGAATAGAACTACTGTTCAAATTGCTTTTATTTCTCAGAGCTTTCATTACTGGGACAAGAAGTCTGGAACTGATAGTACCTGCCCCTCATTTTTGATACCTGGAAATACTTTATTTATCAATATAATTTCTCAGTGGATAAATATTTTAATCTATTTAGTAGAAAATCAAAGCTCTACTTAGTTTTTCAAATTAGTGGTAGTGTTTTATTCTGGCTGCTTGCTATTTATACAAAGAATTATGGGTACTTCAAACTGCTGTGATTCTTTTGGTTTTTTTATTTTATTTTGTCAGGGTAACTGTCATCCATCTTTCTTTTTTTCTTAAATCTTGGGCTAATATTGAATTGGATTTTGGGGTACCTTTGATACAGGCTCATCCTTGATTGTAAAGAGCCCTCTGCAATCAGCTGGTCCCAGTCCAAGAGTACAAATAATTGTCATATCAAAATTCTTAGGCGACACAGGGAAGCGCGAGTCCTGTTTGCTCCTCAGGCTCCTGTGCAATTGCTGGTTGACTTCAGTTGGGATCTGTGTGACCCTCTGGGGAGAGGGGCTGTGAAGCAGGAGGAAGAGCAGGTGCTGTCCTGGTTTCATGGGTTTTTTTTTTTTCCAACTTCTTTCAATAAAATCAACACACCGCTTTGCTTGGCGGGTGAATTTCCAAAGCCTTGTGTTGGAAATATTCCCACACAAAAGTATGTTTTTGCCAAAAGTACGTGTGTGTATCTCCAGTCTTGTCCTTTCTTCAAGACTTTTTTTAAACTGAAATTGAGGGTCTGCTGCTCTCTGTGGTGGCGCTGGCTTTGGAGCTGGTCTGTCCCTGCAGCCTGCTGCTTTTCTGCCTCGCACCTCGTGGTCACGGTGGGTCCCAGCGCAGCGGTCGCTGCTGCCTCCTTATCTTTAAGCCTCCTGTCAAACCTGACCCGATTCTGCCAGGCTCCTAAGTGCTTAGGTGCTTCTCTGGATCAGGGCCTTAACACTTGTGCGCGGAATAAACTTAGCAAATAAGAAGGGCAGCAATTCCCACTTGGACATCCAGTGTAGCCGGTAGCGTGGAGTGCTGTGGAATCGGGACCTCTGTCTTTCCATCAATTAGTGCTTGAGAAAAAAGAGGAGACCTCTGGCAGGATCAAAAGCAGCAGCATTTGTGAACAGCTGATAGAAACTAGAGTGGCTGCCTGAATTTTGATTCCTGTGGTGGTTTGTTTTTTGTTTTGTTTTGTTTTTATTTTGGTAAAGGTTTAATATATTGTTTACTACTAATCAGTCCTATTGGAGTAAATGTATTACATTTTGTGTAGATTTTTTAAGGATGAAAGCAAAAGCTTAAGCTCATTCTTCTCCTGGCTTTACTGATATACCAAAAGATTTTTTCTTTTTTAATTTGAGATCATTCTAGCTGGTAGAGTTCAATATATTGATGTTTTGCTTTAAGATCTCTACAGATTTTTAAGGTATCTGCAGACATTTTAAAAGCTCTGCAGATCTTTAATATCTGTGCTCAGGTAATTTTACACAAAAGACAAATATAAGGTAAATTTTAGGGGAGAAAAAAAAAAAAGAGCCTTAAACGTGGGTGGGACTAATGCTGAATGATTGTCATGGAGCATTCTTGCAGTCTTACTGTTCTTTTTATCCAGAAATTATTGCCGTGTAAGCTGTCCTTTTGCAGTCCAGCCTTTATCAGCGCTGAGTACTTTGAGCCTCTGGTTTCATCCTTTCTGAGGAGCGGAGCAGCAGGTTCTTGGCGGGGCTGTGCGTGGGGCAGGTTGTGCTCTGCCTCCCGCTGCCGCCCGCACGCGCTGCCCAGGGGCGCCCCGCGCCGCCACCTGCAGAACTCGCCCTCCCCTTCAGTGCACGAGTGGGTCGTGCTGTCCCTGTGACATAATCAGTGTTTCGGATCCGCTCCTGTCCATTCTAGTCCAGTCAGCCCTTCCAGTGTTAGCAGCATCCCGTAAAACTACGTTGAATTGTCCCAGCCCCACCTCAACCTGATGAAGCCATACTGTGTTTTTGGGTGACGTGTACATCTGCTTTATGCACTTGTACATCTGATGTAAATTTGAAGTATTTTTAACAATGTGTGCCTTTAATCTAAAGTGGTTTAAAGTAAACAGCAGTATGTTCTATGATGCCCAAAATAAAATATTTTAACCACCGTTTCTGTCAAAGGCATTTATTTTCTGTATTAGTCACTTTCTGAAAGCAAGCCCTAGTGCACAGCCTCACAGTGAGCAATACACAGCTCTGCTGGGCTTATTCCTTTGGAGTGAATCCCTCCCCACAGGGGCTCTGGTCTCTGGTGCTGGACTGAAGAAACTAGTTCTTCTACCCCATGTAATCAGGGAACAGACAAGAAGGGTTTTCCCTGGGTGTTGCCCTTTGACAGCCCCCTCGAAGGCTCCAGGAGCACAGGGAAACTTCAGAGCAGTTGCCTGAGGGCCCAGACCTAGGCAGGGAGAGTGGCTGTTTCATCCGCCTTCTCCTTGGTTGTGGTTTTGCAGGGGATGCAGGGACTTGGTTTTAATCTTCCTGCCCATGCTCCGTCCTGCGGGATGCTGGACTCCTCTGGCCGCCCTGTGCTAGGCTGGGCCTTCCCGTGCTCTGCGCAGTGCCCTGGGAGCAGGATGGGGCTGAGCGAGTAGCGCGTGGAGGGGGACGGGGCACCCTGGCCCGCGGCCCGTACGGGAAGGCGCCCCAAAGTGCTGCGCTCAAACAGCACCTGAGACAGCAGAGTGGCTGCTGCCCTCAGGCTGTGCTGCAAAACAAATACAATGGGAAGAAATGAGGAGGTTGGCTGTTAAAACACTAAGTAAATTTCCTAGAAAATAACATCTCGGGGGTTAGAGCTTCCCATGACAGTAACAAGCAATGATGAGGAGTTTGGTGCTCAGATATCTCGAGGAGAGTGTTTCTAAGAAAGAAACTTTTTATCCCTTTTGTGTGTGAACACAGGCACGCTCCCCGCCTCACTCTCCCCATGCTATGTTTTACTTATCTCCTCTGGGAACGGAGAGATTCTGTTTCCCAAAGGAATTGCTCGCTGGCTTCGCATGCGTACGTAGCCACGGGTATGTCTGTGATGCAGTTTGTGTGGGGGTTTTCCTATGCTGAACATTGCACCAAGTTAAGTAATTGATTTGGCAGCAAATTAAGACCAGGCAGGCTGGCACTGGAAGCTCTTTCTGTGTGTGTGTGCAACGTAAAGCAGTGAACAGCACTGACGGACATGCATGTCGAGTTGTCTTGAAGTGGGAACTACACATTAAAAAGAAACGAGTCACTTGTGTAATTCTGACATATTCATGTACTTATTTTCCTGTTTCTTTCTCAAACCAAAATAAACTTTAATTTTAAACTTAAGTATTGGGACTGACTTTATTGCTTGTGGGGTTTTGTTTCTTTGTTTGGGGTTTTTTTCCCCTCTTTTCTTTGCAGATGTGACTCCAGCTCTGGCAGGCCAGCTTCAGGCTGCAGCTGGCTGCATTCAGTTGTCCTCTGAAGCTTGCAGTGAAAGCTTCAACCACACAACACACATAACTGGAAAATAATGTAGAGCTGGAACTGGTCTGGTGGCTGCTCGGGGGGGGAAGAAGCCTCGTTTCTCAAAAAGGTTGTGTCCTTCCCTAGCACACATGTCTATCAGCAGCCATGTGCTGCTGCTCTCCGTGAGCAGCGCGGTGGCTCTCGTGCCCGGCAAGCCCAGACCTGAGGGCAGACCGGGCTCCTCTCCTTGTCCCCTGTGTCCTCACCCGGCTGCTGCGAGCCCTCATCTAGCCGGAAGGGAGCAAATACCCTGTGGGAGAGACAAGAGCAGCAGCGTGGGGCCGGCGCAGCCCCTGGGCTGCTGTGGGGGGTTCTGCCTCTGCGGTCCTCAGCGTCGCTGCCACCCTTCTCCTGCGCCTGTGTCTTGAGCTTCTTTGATGCAGGAAGGAAAGTGGAAGAAGAATCAGACCTGGGTTTCAAAAAGCTCTCCCTGTGCAACTGTATCAGTTTAAGTAAGTCAAGGCTTTGAGACTGAGCTTTGACAAGGGCAGAGCGTCACCAGGCACACGCAGCCTGTTGGTGAAAACCTGCATTTCCCTCTGTATCCTTGTGCTCTCCTGACTTCTTCAAGAACTTCGAGTTCCCGGGGGTGCAGACAGGCATTTCTGCTTGTCCCCTCTCCTGGCTTAGCTGCAAGATGCAAGTAACAGCAACAGCGCCAGCTACGGAGTGCAGGGGGGAGCCTGGTGCGTTACTGCTGTGCGGAGGAACGTGCTGGACTTTGAGGATGTCCTTCAGAGAAGAGATAAGGGCTTTGCCCTGGGCATCTTTGGTTTTGACTATCACCCTTGTTAGAGCTGATGTTAACGACACGGAATAGAAGCAGCCTAAGTAATTCCTGGTTTATAGTAAATTTCTACATTTTTGTTGCTGTTTCTCTTTTT